GGTCTTCTTCAGTAAACACCACATTTAAGTCTCTATTTATAATCTTGATTGTCTGTTAAAAGTCACAATCCATTTGTTTACAGAAACATGGTACAATTTAATCCTTGATAGATACTAATTTAAGACTTAGAGGTTTGTGTTGGAGTTTTGTTTCTTTTTTAAAGAGAAGTACTTGACATTTATGTACTAGTTACTTCTCTTTCTTATGTTTTTATATTAATATTTATGCAAATTTTATAGTAAGATTTTGGGAGCCAGAAGTTTATTAATGAGTCACCATTTGCAATATCCTTCTTTCAACTACCTCTGGATTTCTGAAAAGAAAGAGTTTTGGGGGCACCTTTGCCGCCATTTCTGGAGCATGTTAGCATGGAAGTGGGGTTGGCAATCCTGGGATTTTATGGGAACAACATAATCCATCTATAGCCTTGCATTCTGAATCAAGGAGATTGACTCCTCAGAAGGCCATTATTGTATATAATGGTTGGAAAGATTTAGCTAATACTTTGGTCTATGTTTTTCTATTTTGCTGTTGTCGGCTGCCACTGAGCTGATTCTGATTTATGATGGCCGCATGTGCGCAGAGTAATACTCAAATCCAAAGTCACTGCCATCAGCTGCTCCAAAGGAATGTCAAGGCTGTGACCTTTCAGAAGCAGAAGGCCGTGTTTCCTTTTGAGACACCTCCCGTTGAACCCACACTCCCAACCTTCTGGCTAGTTAGTCATTGTGGACCCAGGAAAGCATATGACTATCCCTGCAGGATGATCCAATGGAAAATGAAACTATTTTAGATTGTTGACCCAGGACAATGGGGGTCAGCTGTAGAGATAGCAGCATAAAGTCAAAGCATGCTGAGTGTCGATGTCCTGCTCGTATTGATCTCTTCATTTGGGGGCAGTCACTTTCTGGTTAGGCTTCCTCAAGCTGGCCTTAAATTACGGTCCTTTCTCTAACCGGCATAGCAGCTGAGTCACATCGTGAGGAAGCAGGTGTGAATAAGGACAGGAAGCTGGTGTGTGATGAAAAGTGGAATTTGGAGAACCAGGATGTCCATTGGGAAAGGTTGATAAAACAATTTCAGCCAAGTGGTCAACATTCAATTTCCTCAAATGTGTGATTTTCCTTACTTAGAGGCAAGGAGCTTTTTTGAACACTGTAGTTTCACAGCACCTTTATAGTATTAATGGGACTCAGATAATTTAGGTTGAAAGGTACATTTGGTTTCACCCATCCTTTGCTTTAAACATCTTTCAATTCTCTATGATCTCTGATTAGCTGTAGGTTTTAGAGCTATTTTCCCTACACTTCAAATAACTGTGTAAGAATTTTATGATGATTAAAAAGGGCAAGAACAAAGAATCAGAGGAACCAAGAGGAGAAATCCCATGACACTATTTCCCAAAGTGTAGCCTTTACAACTTCATTTCTGTGAGAGTGCTAAGGGTCCCAGGGCCCTTCATCCTGGGACAGATCCTTTTCCACAAACACACACGCTGTCGGCATAGTCTGGTTGAACTGTTCTCATTCGAAGAATCTTTTTCAGTTCATTAAATCTCTCATTATACATTCTTGACCACAAAAACTACGACCATGAAAAACATGACATCATAAACAAGCTACTTACTCATGCAAGTAAAAACGCAATAAAAATCAATAGTCAACTTCACTTGTCCTTGTGTCTTCCTAAGAGAGATTTTGGCAGATCTATTTGCATGGGCTATTTCTCCTGTCACACCCCCTCCCTTGGGTGTAAACTCTGGGTGTTTATTTGTAGGTATAGTTATTTGTGGATCCATTCCACAGCAGCCCTAATTTGTTTTCTGAATTCCAGGTGATGCTGCTTACTGCCCAACTTTGGAAAATATGGACCTAGATGAATCATCTTTGTTTGAAACCTTGCCCGTGTCCGGACCAGTCCTTCTTGACCAAAATCGACTATCCAGTGAGAGCAGCTGCAAGAGTTGGATGAGCTCCCTGACCATCGACAGCGAGGATGGGTACCACACGAGTGTGTCTGAGGACTATAGCAGAGGGGCCTTCAGTCGGCAGACAAGCACAGATGATGAGTGTTTTGTCCCCAAGGATGGAGACGACTTTCTGAGGAGGTCTTCCTGGAGGAGGAACCGTAGCATCAGCACCGCCAGCAATGGGTCCATGTCTTCCTCGTGTGAGGGCAACTTTGCCAGCATGTTTGGGACCCTTCCCAGGAAGAGCAGAAGGGGAAGTGTCCGCAAGCAACTCTTGAAATTCATCCCTGGCCTTCACCGAGCGGTCGAAGAGGAAGAGAGTCGCTTCTGACCCCTTGTGCCCTTGTATATTATTTCAGAATGATCTCTGGACTTGTCTAAATCAAACTCCACCCAGTCAATGGGGAAAGTACAGATGACTGAGAAATTGACACCCCGTTTTACAATAGTCGTGACTTTTATTTACACCTCGGTGTCTGTTTTTTGCTTCTGAAATCATTCAAACCCAAATGCTCAAGTTCTAAGCAGACATTAGAGAGAGAAATCTTCCAATAAATCAGATAATATGCATTTTAAAAATCCAAAGTTCTTCCTCATTATAATGTTGCTCATGAAGGCTAGCATATTATTTTTGGTATTTCCTTGGAAGAAGGACTGAAAAAATCTGACCACGTTGAATATTTTCCCTGGGTTCATTGGTCTGTTACCAAAGCTTAGGTTTGTTTTAGATCCATAACTTCTTGGGACACTTTGTAATATGCAATTTTGAAAGTTCCCTTATATATCTAAATCTTTGCAAGGTTGTAAACAAAGGTGCCCATCAGGCATTTCCCATGCCTGCAGTGAGGATAATTCCAGTGTGCCCAGGAGGAAATCTAATATGCAGGGGCAGCTCTGAGGCTCATGAGAACATGGAAAGTGGTTGTTCCTCTGAGATAAGAGTTGTGGAAGATTCCAGCAATCTCTTTCTCTCTCTCTTTTTATAGCTGTCCAACCAAGATTGGTAAGAACCTCAGTTTTCTTACGCAATTCATATTTTGTTCTGCCTGAACATTAATGAAAAGCCTGCAAGGACTCTCAGAATCCTACAGCTTTGAGGTTTGTGTGCATATGTGATACATTCTGCTAAAGTTTGAAAAATTAAGAATTAGGAAATGATTTACCTTGTGAAGTTTTTTTTAATCAACCTTCCCTTTATATGATATATTTCAAAGAGTTATTATCTCTACTCTCTTTTGCCTAGTAGGTATACTAATATCTCAATATATCTATATTTTAATTTATATTTTTATTCAATATCTATTAAAGCACATGATTTTTCTCTTCGGGTGATGCAGTTCTTGTTATTTATACTCTGGAGTAGATAATCTAGACTATACAATAAATAATTCTTTCTTTTTTTTACAATAAATAATTCTTAATGATCTTAAACTCTGTGTGTGTGTGTGAGTGAGTGAGTGAGATGGAGGAATATTGACTGCGCGGGACCACTGCACTCCAGTGAGCCTCTGAGTATTCTAGGGATTTATCATGGAAGGGGGAAAAAGCATAATTTTCATAGATGAGAAATGTTCATAGGGATGAGGAGGTTCTAGGGAAATAAACATAAAAATATTGATAATTAAGACCTCCTTTCTCTTAATCCTTCTTCCTCAGAAACATCTGCTTGGCAATTAGATGATTGAATAACAGTCATTCAGATGGAAGGCAGTGTGTTGCATTGTTCGCAGGAACCCAGCAAACATGTCTGTGATTTACTGATGCCTTAGAGGCGAAAGATGCAAAGCACGCTATCTTCCCAGTCACCTGTAGGTAGGGGTGAGACAAACAGATGAGGAAGCAGGACTTCAGAAGCATTGTCAAGTTGTACAGTGGCAGACCCGAACCTGGAGGCTAGATCTTCCTGGCTTTAGCTTACTCTCTTCACCTTTCTCCAGATTGTTTATTCTTTTGCTGGTGCCTTGCACATATCCCCATAGGATTTATTTATGCATATCCCCCCACCCCAACAGTAAGACTTAAAGTGCATAATTGTACATGCTCCATGAGTAAGGATCTCATTGTCAGTAATTAGGAAAACAAACGCAGGCGCAGATTGGCTGCTTCCCTGGGACTCCACCAGCAAGTTTGCAGACCTGGGTTCATCAGTCACTGTGTGGGTATGAAGGTGTTGCCTTCAACAAGGGCTGGAAAGCCAGTTGTGGTTCAACCGATACTGCTGACTTCTCATGATAGGTCAGAAGATCAAGTTTACAAAGTGCTTACAAGAAGACAGCCTGTTCCACTCATTTCTCCAAAGCTTCCCAGTGAGACATGCATTGTCCATGCGCAGAAAGAAGACTGTAAAGTCTCCTACACTGAAAAGTGCCCTGAGAACTATCACAGGTTACCTCAGTCATTCACTTTTTCTGAAAGCTTTAAATATTAAGTGAGACACCTTTCGATCGTGGTGTCCATGGCACAAGAGCCATGCCAGTGAGAACGGGTACAACAATAGTAGGCAGACTGATCTGTAGAACGTGGGCTCAGTTGCATTAGTGTTTGGAGAGAAAATTGAGTTATGTTTGTGCCACCCCCCCCCCACAAAAGGAATGAATTGTTTTGAATAATTCTAGACATTATTTAGAAACTTCTAAGTACAGAGTATCTAGGAGAAGACAAATGCCCATGGATCACTAAATGTGTGTCAGATACACAGGAAAGACCAAATCGGGAATGGGCCAAAGGAATGATGTAGCAAGTTTCACTGCAGTCTGGGCTAAGAAGCAGCACACAGAGAGGTGTGTTCTGGAGAGTGGGGGCAGGGTGGGGGGAGCACTGGTTAAGCACGGTACAGGACAGAAGGCCATGCCATGTTTTATATGTTCATACGCTGTGAGAAAAGTAGTTCTTGTGAGTGGAAATGTGGGTAAATTTCTCACAGAACAGTGTTGCAGACTGAGCTGACCACAGCGAGGCTTTATTCAGTTTTTTGTATCTTCTGATGCACAGTGACTCACTTTGTTGTAATTTATTTACTGAGGGGGGAAAAAACAAAACACTTTAAAAAAACCCCAAAGTTATCAAATTTGCAGTATTGGTGAAGGACATTGACAATTTACTATGAAAATGCATCTTTCTGGAGTTGCATTCAATATACCTAATTGGAATCAAATATATTGGGTAATTACTTTCTCTTGTGACTGAAGTAGCCAAAACATGTCAAACAAATTGGAACTTTATTTTCTGAAATGAGTTTTTATTCATTACTATCTACTTTGCAATACCTTTGATAGCTTAGCTGCATAAGAAAAACAGTATTAAACAGCCAAATTTGAATTGAGTTCATCAAACTTGGATATGGTTTTCATGTGCTGGTCATGAATTATAAACACGTATGGATGTACACAATCTGATTAAGTAAACAAAATGCTAACAACTAGGTTGAACCATCAGTGTTATTATTTTACATACATTTCTATATAGGCTACGGACTATGAAATTAAAGTTAGACATCTTTCTGAAATAAAGAAATTATTTTTAGTTATAGAACTCTATTCATTTATCTATCAACCTATATCTATCATCTATCTATGATTTCCCTCTTTCCCTCCCTTCTTTTTTCCCTCTTTCTCTCCCTGGCTCCCTTCCTTTCTTAAAGCAAATGATTATTGTGAAAGCTGCCTTTTATTAAATCTTGGAGGACCTCTGGGCACTTCTTTCTTTTAGACTTTTAAAAATACTTGTTACTTATTTGAGATGTTCCCCTTATATTGTTTCCCCCCCCCACTAAAGTTGTATAACAAATTACTATAAACCTTGAACCTCGGCGAATAAAACATTTATTTCACTTGAGTTTCTGTGGGTCAAGGACTTGGGCCCCATTTAGCTAGTCCCTGCAGACAGCAGTCAAGGTCTTGAACAAGACTGACTTCTTAGGGGAGCCTCAGCTGGGGGAGGATCTCGTTTCAATATCCTACAGGTTGTTGTCAAATTCATTTTCTGAGGCCATCGAATTAATTGCAACTTCTTCAAAGTCAGCAATAGAGAGACACACACCCAGAGATGCACAACGTGGTTTCAAGAGCAAGATCGAGCCTGACATAATGTAGTCAAGGGATTGATATTTCAGAACGGTTGGCATGAAATGCAGGTTTACCATAAGTCTTGAAATTGTGAGTCCAACTTTGTTCTTTTTCACTATTATATTGGCAGTACCAGGTTTTTGCCTTTCCATATTAACTTAAGAATCAATTTGCGGATATCTGACAAAGGCTATAAGAGACAACCGCGCGGGCTCCCAATGGCCCAAAATGAAATAATTTGATCAACAAAATGAAGTCGTATTATTATCCAAAATATTAAACAAATATCCATACATTAGTTTATTTGGATACATTGAAAAGTCACTGGAGTGAAGAGAAAAACTGTGCAAAGAGTTCCAAATAATGTATGTGACTCAATCCTCGAGGAGACAGAGCCTAATTTACCAGACAGTAAGTGCAGGCTACACGTAGCAACTTCCTCCCAGGGAACAGTAGGGAAAATGGAAAGCAAAGAGGAGCCCTGGTGTTGGAGTGGGCTACACAAAGGGCTGCTGTCAACAGTAATAACCAAACCAAACAGCTTCTCCACATGAGAAAGATGAGGCTTTCTGCTCATGCAAGGCTTATAATGTCAGAAACTCACAAGGGCAATTCTACTCCATCCTACAGGCTCGACGTCAGTTAGTGTGGTAGTTATATAATCTGGTGTCAATTTGAGGATTAAGAGTGTAGGGGTAGAGTCTAGCCTGTCAATCAGGATTGAGCCAATGAGACCTCAGAGTGGGCATGGCCTTCTCCTGAGGATTCTGGAAACTCCTCTTATTTCCTCCTTGGAGGCAGGAGACCCCTGCTCTCTTTGCTCACTTCCTGCGAGACATCCCTGTTGAGAAAACACATGGAGAAAGGATGATGAAGCCAGACCTCTGAAGCCGCAGAAGCCACGTGAGACCCCTGCCAGTGCTGAGATGTTTACAATGCCACTGGATCCACAAGACTTCCCACCCACTGGCCTGTGATCTTCCTGCATTCAGCATCATTGCATGTGTTTCATGAGTCTGAAGAGGAGTTTATAGATTGGTATCGGACATATGGGCTAATATCAGACTTATGGACTTGAGCTGGGTCCACCTTAGTCCTCAAAGTGACACCCCGGCTCTTCAACATTTTAAGGGGGTCTGTGCAGTGGATTTACCCAATGCAAAATGTCTTTTGATCTCTTGACTGCTGCTTCCAGGAGCATTAATTGTGGATCCAGCCAGACAAAATCCCTGACAACGTCAATCTTTTCTCCATTTATCATGTTACCTATTGGTCCAGCTGTGAGGATTTTGCTCTTCTTTACATTGAGTCCTAAGTCCTACTGAAGGCTGCAGTCCTTGACCTTCATCAACAAGTGCTTCAAGTCCTCCTCACTTTTAAAAAGCAAGGCTGTGCCATCTGCATATTGCTGGTTGTTAATAAGCCTTCCTCCAACCCTGATGCTGCATTCTTCTTCATATAATCTAGCGTCTTGGATTATTTGATCAGCATATGGGTTGAATAAATATGGTGAAAAGATACAACCCTGCTGTACACCTTTCCTGATTTGAAAGCATGTAGTATTCCCTTGTACAAATGTCTGCCTCTTAAGCTATATACAGGTTCCTCATGAGCAGAGCAATGTGTTCCAGAACTCCCATTCTTCTCAATGCTATTCATAGGTGTCTATACAGTCAAATGTTGCATAGTCAATAAAATACACATAAGCTTTCTTATAGTCCCTGCTCTGAGCCATGATCCACCTAATAAGGGATGCCATCCAGCAGGACTTTCTCATAGCTCCCTCCCAATATGCTGCTACAACTGTTGTGGAATAATCTTCAGCAACATTTTACTTGCTTGTGATGTTTAGATCACTTGCACATTCTGCTGTGGAATAGCATCACTTTTCTTTGGAATGGGTAGATAGATCTCTTCCAGTCATTTGGCCAGCTAGCTATCTTCAATTTCTTGGCATAGTGCATGGCGCATAACTGCTTTGTCACCAGCTGAAACATTTCAATCAGGACTTCTTTGAGTCCTGGAGCCTTGTTTCTCATGAATGCCTTCTGTGTAGCTGGATCACCAAAGCCCAGTGAAATGGAATGTCTTAGAGTTTTGCCATATTTGTTTCCTACCTGAACATCTAAACACTTGTTCTGGTAATGCCAGAGGTAAAATGGTAACTCGTGAGGTGAAATTCTTTAAGTGCCTCATCTACAAATGTTCAGAATCCAGTAAATGGGTCAATATACTTTTAAAAAAAACATATGTACATATGCAAATATATTTATATGAGGATGAGGAAATAGATCTATGAGCCTATATTTATAGGTTTAGAATTAAGGTAGCAGAAGGACATTGGGCCTCCACTCAAGTACTCCCTCA